GTTAGTGTCTCCAGTCGGATCAGCTAAGCACTAAAACATTTTTGTATTTTTATTGTTAAATGTATTTCTTTTTCATTCACAGTGTTTGAAAGTGTTTTCTTTTCACTTTGCTGCCTCCTGCTGATGATAAAATGAAAGGCCGTTTCTGCATCATATCTTTTTGTTCTGTGTATTGGAAAGCTCTTTAAACTGCAGCAAGACCCCATAACAGGCTAAAAGGCCCAGCAGTGCCCCCTTGCAATGTGTTGAATACAGCCAAACGAGGAGGCCTCCATGACCATAGAAAATATATTATCAGTTGTACTTTGGTTGTAAAAAGTCCACAAATATCAGAATTTGGGTAAAATGCCCAGTAGTCCCAACCCAGCATCAGCCATTGGTATCTTGCTAAGTTCTTTTACCTCTATGCATGCCATAGAGTGTGACGGAGCTCCTGTACTCATACCATGTACCTCCATCCAGTCCTCTTCCTATCTGCTTGCAAGGACCCTGGAGAGATTCAACCCCAGTGGCCAAGGCTTGACTGGGGTCTCTCTCAAGCTCTTTCACCTGACCAGGCTGCAGTTCTCTTTCCAGGCAGGTATCGTCCCCTCTACCTATTCTGCTGTAGCCCTTCTTCCAGGCAGGTATCATCCCCTCTGCAGATTTCCTTCCAGGCAGGTATCGTCCCCTCTGCCTATTCCTCTGCAGCGCTGCTTACAATGATTACTATTGCCTTTACAAAGGCAGTTGCGGTTCTCAGGCCTAGCTCTTTTGATGTATCCCAGGACTCGAGGAATTGTGCAGTCAGCCAACAGATCTGAAGACTGTCACTGATCCCATAAAATACACACAGGACACCCAGTTCAAAATAGAACATACAATACTTTATTTTACAACAACATATTTATAAAGGGATGGGGAAGACAATAATAAACACATAACATCTCTCCTGCCTGTAGAATTCGCAATATGCAAATCTACCTGAAAATGTAACTTAGAAATCCTTGCTATTCAGGTAGTGTATACAGCATCCTTGCAACCAACAGGTGACGCTGTACAGGCTCCATAACCAAATCCACCTAGCTGATTGCAAGCATTAGCAAGACAGGAGAGCACACTAATATTTAACGCTAAATAATTTACACACACCCTGCACCTATATTGGGCACAGGGTGACTAAAACAAAAGAATAGTTCAAGGACCTACATACTCTGCCTGAAGCTCCAGGTGATGGTGACTACCGTTACACAGAGCAAATGCTATATCACTTTAATTGTGAGCAGAATCTTCAAGGTTCTCCTTAATACAGCTGTAAAAAAGCCTTTTCCATGTGCATATTTGCCTTATAACAGAGCACTGAGCTGAGTGGAGTAGAGTAGAATGTCTTCTTTGCCCCAGTGACTCAGGGTGTAGTTCAAGCAGTGATCAAATATAATTTTAGCTTCCCTTCCGATAAAAGGTTGGATAATATGCCTTGGTTATATGCTGCAATATGTGACTTTGATCCATTACTCCCATCTTGTTAATGATTAACCTTTTTTTACTTCATCACTACTGAGTATCCGGTGCAGGATTTCCTTTAAGAATAAAATTATTGTGGCGTACACACAAACATCCTCACTTCATTACATTATTCAGACTGATGATAGTCTGGCCTTAACAAAACCATGTGATTATATGTGGAGGCATTTATAGGTACTAGTGCTGCAAAGTGCAATAGACCACTAAAAAAAAAAAAATAGTAAGAATCTTTATAAAAACAAAAACAAAAAAAAAACAGCAGATTTAATACTTGTGTGTGTAACCTTTATAAAAATACACCACAAGAACTTAAAATGATAACAAAAAATAGTGTAGTGCTTATATAAAGTGTAGATAATATCAACGTAGCTGTACCTTTAACAGATCAACAGATATTCATTCCAGGTAACCTAAAATATGAATAATATGCTATAGTGCAAACCTATCAAGAAAATAGGGATGAAAACTAATAAAATGGAACACTCACAAGTCAAGAGTTAGAAAACCTAGGTTTGGTTGGTATAGCAACTGGTTCGGATAAGGTGACCCACCCCTGATGAATGTAGGTAGCTTTCTTCAACAATCCTTATTAGATAAAATAAATACTGAAGTCCTTCTTTCAGTACCCAGAACGCGCTTCACCACCGTACAGTGGCTTCCTCAGTTGGGTAGAAATCCATAGTCCTCAGCCAGGTAGAAATCAATAATCAATAGACTTTTGATTTCTACCCAGCTGAGGAAGCCACTGTATGGTGGTGAAACGCGTTCTGGGGACTGAAAGAAGGACTTCAGTATTTATTTTGGACAGTATTCCTTTGGTTTTATTTTATTGATTATATATTGGTGTAATATGAAAAATAATGCATGTATATTTTGGTTTCCGGTTTCCTGCGAATCTAAGGAAAGGGAGTGTAGTCCCATACTACACAGCAGGCTGAGATAAATATCTATTGATCAATTAAAGGTACAGATATTTTCTGCACTTTATAAAAGCGCTACACTATTGTTTGGGGTTACCATGTGATTATATGATTATATCCTATATTAGAGACACAAGCCACACCAGTAGATTCCATTATTACCCACCCATCCACACCTGTAAGTATGAATTAAAAGGAATCCATAATGCTAAAAATACAAAGTTGTATTCCTATAACTATAGTACCCTATAGTGCCCCCCTCGCTCACGCAATGCTGATAGGATTAAAAAAAACCTTATGTGACTTACCTGGATCCAGGGAGGATCCCTAAATGCTGTACTCTTGCGCATACTGAAGCGCCAGGAGCTGAAGAGTATCCACTGGCAGAAGATGGCAGCCCCCGCGAGAGACTTCTGCAAAAACCCGAGTTGGTGACAGTGTTGCTTTAATTTAAATTCTTCAGGTGCTCAGGTGTCCATTCAAAAAGTGCCACTGATAGTACTAGAACCAGGGGCGGACTGACCGGTCGGGCACTTCGGACATGGTCCGAGGGCCTGGCCGGGAGGGGGGCCCACCGCCATCAGGGGGCCTGGTGGCAGGGCTGGATTGGGGGCGGCATCTGGGGACTGCAGAAGGTGTCCGGCTGCGTTTCATGCTGGAGCTGCCGGGCCGGGTGGCAGCCTCGCCGATCCGGCGGCACTTCTCTCACTAATGCTGAGGACGGAAGGAGGAGGAGCATGTCTCTATCATGCTCCCTGCGGTTCCCACAATTCCCAGCACAGGAGCATGAGGGAGAGACATGCTCCTCCTCCTTCCGTCTTCAGCATTAGTGAGAGGAGTACCGCCGGACCGGCGAGGCTGCCACCCGGCCCGGCAGCTCCAGCATGAAACGCGGCCGGCACCCTGTGTCTCAAGTCAGAGAAAGAGGGGGAATAGAGAGATGGGGAGGGGAGAAAGAGGGGAAGAGAGAGATGGGGACGGGAGAAAGAGGGGGATGGGGAAAGAGAGGGGAGGGGGAGAAAAGAGGGGAACAGAGAGATGGGAGGGGGAGAAAGAGAGGGAGAAAGAGGGGAATAGAGAGATGGGAGGGGGCTTGAGGAAACAGAGAGATGGGGAGGGGGGGAGAAAGAGAGGCCGCAAAGAGGGGGGAATAGAGAGAGATGGGGGAGGGGGAGAAAGAAGGAACACAGAGATGGGGATGGGGGGAGAAAGAGAGGAACAGAGAGATGGGAAGGGGAGAAAGAGGGGGAATAACAGAGAGATGGGGGAGGGGGAGAAAGAGAGGGAATAGAGAGATGGGAAGGGGGGAGAAAGAGGGGGAACAGGAGAGATGGGAGGGGGGAGAAAGAGGGAAGAATGAGACACAGGGTGAGAAAGAGAGGGAATAGAGAGATGGGGAGGGGGGAGACAGAGAGGGAAGAATGAGACATGGGGAGAAAGAGGGGAAATAGAGAGATGGGGAGGGGGGAAAAGAGACAGAGAGGGAAGAATGAGACACAGGGTGAGAAAGAGGGGGAATAGAGAGATGGGGAGGGGGAGAAAGAG